AGTGGGGGTTGGACGGCTACCTCGAGTGGTGCACCAACCTCAAAGAGCAGTACCGCGTCCGCCGTGACTGGCTCGTATGTCCTCCCTCTTTCCTCCACTCGGTTGCCCCTGTTGACCAAGACTCCTGCGCAGCTCGACGCCATCTCCTCCCAGTTCCAAATCGTGCCCGCCTCCAGCACCTGCGCCCCCGGCGCCCTCGGTCTCGTCGCCTACGCCAAATCCGACACCGCCCTCACCAAACCTCTACTCAGCTTCGTCTCGCCCACAGGCGGCATGTTCGTCTGGTGCGACGTCTACTATTCTTCCAACCCGTCTTTCCAGAAGCTCGCTGCTTCCAGCGGCACGGGCAAGGACGCCGACCCGGAAGCAGAGTTTGAGAGGACGTTCTGGCAGACGCTGGCGGATGCGAACGTGCTGGTCACGCCTGGGTGGTACTACAAGCCGTGGATGGGGGAGGAGTACAGGACGACGGCATCGAGGGGAGGGAGGCCTGGGGTGGGGCATTTCAGGCTGGCGTTTAGCTTTGAGGCGAAGGAGGATATGGAGGAAGGGGTGAGGAGGTTGGCGGAGGTTATCGTGCGGGAATGGGAGGTTTGATCTTTGGATGCATGGATCTAGAACTCTCTGCTGGACACACTTTGACTGGATGTCGACGACACGGTTATATTTCAAGCAAGGGTTGAAACATGCATACTGTCAGTGTAAAAATGCGGGGTGGGTGGTAACAAATGGTCTCCTGTCCTTGTTCGTGGCGCCCTCGCGCTCTCCATCTTCTGCCCGGGTACTCTACATCTCTTTCTACTCTTGGAGGATATCCTCCCTCTTCGGCCTGATAGTTGCTCGCTTGTCAGTAAAGTCCGACTTGAAAATGCGGCGAGTTGGCTTACTTGAGCTCCTTGACGTCCTTAACGTCCTTGCTGTGTCGGATATCGTTCCCCTTGGCGATGAGGTTCTGGGCCTCTTCGTCCTCGAGCAGAATACCAAGTCCGTGGTCCTGGGTGAGCTCCAGCACGTGGTCGAGTTCCTGCATCCACCACATCAGCTATTTGCCCCGCCCCCGGATAGCCGGGAAAGACACTCACAACGAAGCCGTCCGAGTCCACATCCAACTTCTTCCCGAGCCCCTCAATCATCTCATCTGCCGGCTTGTGCTTGATGACCTTGAGCGCCTTCTTCAAGTCGTCAAGTGCAATCTGGCCCTGGGGCGTAGTCTGGATGACGTTGAGCGTCGAGCCGACCTTCTCGTCGTACTTCTCGAGCTGGTTGTCGATCTTCTTGATCATCGAGCGCACGCGCTTGGACACGGCGATCGAGGGGTTGTCCTCCTCCTGGCGCTCCTTGGATTCCTGTGGTTCATTGTCAATCTCGTCACATCTACCCTGAGAGGCTCAGCAGTTAGACAACTCACAGCCTCAGACAGCAAGTTGTCCTCCAACAGCGCCTTGAGCTCGTCCCGCTCCTTGACGATACTCGACTTGGCCGTCAAGATCGACAGCGCCTCCGCCAGCTCCCCAAGCTGCTCCTTGGTCATCCTCGCGTCCACCTCGGGCTTCGCCTCCTCCTCCTCCGCCTTGACCTCCTCTGCGGTCTTCTCGACAACAGGCTCCTCCTTGGTGCCAGACGCCTCGGCGGCAGCGGCCTTGGCGGCGTCCTCCTCCTCGCGCTTGGCGGCTTCCTCGGCCTCCTTCTTCTCCTTCTCTTCCTTGCGGGCGTCTTGCTCCTCCTGCGTGGGGTGTCAGTGGATGCAAATGAAGCTTGGGAAGGACTGGAGGCGCACCTTCTCCTGCTCGGCCTCGTCCTCGATGAGCTCCTGCTGCTGCTGCAAGACCTCGAGCTTCTGCTTGTACGTCGCCTCGTCCGAGACGTTCAGCTCCGCCTCGTTAAGCTACCCCACCCATCACCGTCAGCACAATCACTCTGTATAAACATTCCCACACGCAACGCACCAAGTTCTCAGGCAAGCTGCTCAGTGTCGTCACCAAGCTCGTCATCACATCATCGCCCTTCTGCTCAAAGTTGAAAGCGCGGCTCAGGACGAGCAGGACACCAGAGATACCGTTGATGTAGTGCAGCTCGATCCACGACTCGAGCTCCTCGCGTAACCGCGCGGGCGAGACGCCGGAGAAGCGGATACCGCGCGATTGGCACGCTTGCTGGAGCTCCTTGGTGGAGAGGGAGTCGACGCCTTCCGCGTGGATCATCTGCAGCATACTTTGTCAGCTGCAACAACAGTGTCGTGCATGAGTCAGCTCACCATGTCGTCCACCCGGACCTTCTCGAGCTTGCTGCGGATCTGGTGCTTCAAGAAGTTGTCGGTACCAAACGCGTTGATGTTCATGTAGCGGCACATGGACACGAGTTGAGGGCGAGACAAGTTGTCGAGGGTGATGTCGTCGTGGAAGAGCTTGGCGACGCGGACGACGTCCGTCTGGCTGGGCGTCTCGCCGGTGGAGCGAACCTGTCTAGCGTGTCAGCTTGGTCCATCAGTATTCTGTAATCCAGCTGACCTTTCGGAAGAACTCCTTGAACTCGTCGCTTCGCACCACGCTGTCCGCTTTCAGACCAGACTCCCGGACAGTCTCCTGCAGGAACTTGGCCATCTCGATACGGACTCGCAGCAGCTTCCTCTGCTTCTCGTTCTGCAGGCCAGGCTGTCAGCTAGCAGAAAACAGCGGGATAGCTGACGACACTCACAGCTGCAAACTCTCCCTCGAAAGTGCTAGGCAGCATGTTGGGGAAGATTTTGAGCGCCACAGGGAGGAGGAACTCCATGAAGGGCACGACGACGAACGGAAGGAAAGGCACCAGGCGGAGCAAGTCCGTAGTTGTTCGCCGAAGCTGCCTTCGCTCACGCCGAGTCAACGTCCCGCCGTTTAGCACCTTCCACTGCAGCTTCGAGCTGATCTTGATCTCTTGCCCCAGAAGCTTCGTCCCCGACCAATAGTGCGCCACCTCCTTCTTGATCGTCGCCCACACCCGCGCAGGCAGAGGCCCCGTCGGCTTCTTCTTCTCCTCCTTCTTCTCTACCAGCTTGCCCTCCTCTGCTGCTGCGACGTCCACAGCCTTGGGGGGCAGGGCGCCGATCGGCGCAGGCGGAGAGGGTGGAGGGGTTCCGATAGGTGGCTCGACGGAGGCAGAGGCGGGGGTGGAAGACTGGGATGCTGGGGATGGAGGGAGAGGAGGAGGGTCAGAGGAGGAGGTGGAGGTGGGGTGGGTTTGGGTGGAGGCGTATCGCGCGAGGGCGAGCTGGGGCTGGAGGCGGTTGCGGTGGAGGGCGAGGGGCTGCAGGGGGATGGGGAGGGAGGAGGAGAATGCGCGGGTGGAGAGGGAGTTGCCGAGCGCATTGGCGTACAGGTTTTGCTCTGTGATTGGTGTCAGCCTTCACTGCAAATGCGGGCGTTATAGACACGACGAGACGACTCACGCCTGAGTGCCAAATGGGCGGGTCCTCGTTGGAGGAGCCCCCCCGCAGGCGCGGCGGCGCGCATAACGGCGCCAACCGAGTTGGATCCCGAGGCAGCGGTCGACCTGGTGTACAGCATGCTTGCTTGGGGTCTGCTAGCGAGTGTGGTGCAGCTGTGCGGGAGGTGAGTTGTATGCGGAGTGAGGTGTTGCGGGTGGAAAGAAGGATGAGGAATGATTTGACGGATGAAAATAAACGGACGGAAGTGGAAGTCGACGAGTGCCGAGAACGCTTCGTGGGGGCGAGCCGCGAGCGCCGACCGAACATCACCGCGGCACGCTGACGCGCTCTTACGGCTTTCATCGCTTTGCATCACTGTCGTTCACCAGCCAATAGCACTCCCCACAATGGCCCTCGAAAACCCCCTTAACCTCCTCCTCATCCCCCCCATCCTCTTCCTCATCTACCGCATCTTCGTCCCCGCCCATGCCCCCCCTTCCCCCGTAGCATCCTCCTACACCGGCGAGCCCGAGTCGTACAACTGGCTCCCGCCCAAACACCCCGAAGTCATCTGCCTGCGCAAGTACACCGCAAAGGATCTCGCGCAGTTTGACGGGGTGAAGGGAGGGAAGATCATGTTGGCGATTCAGAGGACGAAGCCCGGGGGGAAGATTGACTTGGCGGAGGAGAGGACGGTGTTTGATGTCACGTTGGGGAAACAGTTCTACGGGCCTGGTATGTTTGAGTGCAAAGCTGTCTCTCATTTAAGGACCGACCGAAGAAGCTTACCATGCGCTGATCGTGTACCAGACGGCATGTACGGAAACTTTGCAGGTCGAGACGCTTCGCGAGGCATGGCCAAGCAGTCGTTCGAGCTCGGTACGCCCCTCACGCCGTACTCACCTTTGTGCCCCACCTGTACTAACCTGGCGGCTATCAGACACCCTCACCCCCATTGACCAGCCTCTTGACACCCTCTCCGACCTGACCACCGCTGAAATGTAAGTAAGCCTTGCTACTCGATGGCAGATGTCAGTGTTACTCACACCCTCACCTTCTCTGTAGCGAGAACATGCGTGGATGGCACGAGCACTTTGAGCGCAAATACATCGTTGTTGGCGAGCTGGTGAACGAGTGAGAGTTATAATATCGCTGGATATGGTTAGGGATTGTCGGCATGTATGACCTGCTTGGTGGTCTGCTCGATTGTCACCTGTCTACTCATGAGCTCAAGCGCACAGCAGGAGCGCTTCTTGTTGGCACCCGCCCGCGATTCATCATTCACCCATATCGCTCATCTCAGTATACTGTTTTATTCTCACTGGTAAGGCCATGCAGTATGGCCTGCCTCAGCAGGATTAACATGCATACTGCGAAGGCGCGGATCAGCACCAACGACGACTCTTCTCGTTCGACCCACCAGCTACAATCCAGTAGCCACCCAGGCCAAGCGGCCGCGTCCTACGAGGGATCATCCGCTTTATGTCGTTCACATCACCATCATGTCCTATGCTTCTGTCCATACTCCATACCAAGGATACGCACACGCCGAAGGCCGCACACGATGCATGCAAAAATGTGCAAAAAGGAAAAGGGATGACCACGGTGAGGCTTGAACTCACGATCTTCTGCGTACATGAGCGACATGTAAAGCAGACGCATTAACCACTTTGCCACGCGGCCCACAAAGAGAATTCAGGGTTTTCCGTAGGCTCTGGTCTGGCTGCTTGAGGGTCGCGCTCTTTGTGGGCTGCTTTCATTATTCGTTTTTCTTTCGAATGAGAAGCAGTGGGGGACTAATGAGAAGGTGCACATGATATGACATCTGCTTCTTGTTCCTCCTAACTGCATACTGTATGAGGCTCCTCGCACATGTGCCACTTGCCACTTCTCGTGCACCGGAAATCCACCTCATCCGCCCCAGGCCCCAGCTGACTGACGGAAGCTAATTTCAAGGGGCACATGCCGGCCCGGCATCGATGGTGAAGGATGTCGCCGCCCGAGCTCTCTGGAATGGAGGGATCCTGATCCTGAATTCCCAAACCTCGCCAAACGACGTTCCGAATGACAACATCAGCGCTCGCGTCGTTCTCGCTGGCTTGCTGGCTGGCGAGTCGAGCGAGCGCGGGTGGGTGAAGCTATTCCGAGTGGCCAAAGGTTATGCAGTTTCATCTTTTCTCTCTTTATCGGATTTGCTTATCATCGCGGCTGCCACCTGACCCCCTCCTGCCCTCCTCCCTCCTTCCCCCCCTCGCCCAGCCGCCCGGGACGCTCTGTCACTCCTTTCACTCCGATAGACCGGGGTTACCTGCCTCCTTCTTGCGACACCGGCACACCGCCCAGGCCGGCGCCAACTACGATACTTGCTGTATCTACTACGAATAAAGACATCGAAATCGACTCCCACGCTCCACGTTGGTGAAAGGCTTTTCGGAAGACTGGAGTTGCGAGGAGACGGGTTATAATGCCTGGCTAGCTTGGGCTGCCTTCTCCACCCCTCCTCTATCCCTCCGTCATCTTTCCCCCATTCCCCCATCGCCGTCGCCAACCAGCTGTGCACAGCGATCCCACCCACACCCACCCAAAACCTACTCGCCTTGGCTACGCCCAAGGCCCAACACATCGCCCCTTACCCCACCCCACCCCACGACCCCCCGCGCGTAGCAACGCCCATGGCAGACACTGCGTACCCCCACAGCGGGTCGACAACCTCCCTCCGAATACGAGTGGACGACCCCGAGCGGCTCGCCGTGGATAATACAGAAGACACCACGTCCACGGCGGCGGCGGGCGAGTCAAACTCGCACGCTTACCCGCCTCTGTCGTCGACTTCTACTGCTGTCTCGGCGCGTTCGCAGGTCGATTTGAGCGAGGATAAGAGTGTTCGTGAATTGAAAAGAGGAGATAGTTTGTATAGGAGAATAGTGGATACGATGGAGCACGCTGTGCTGAATCTCGCTCCGGCGTTCTTCTGTGAGTCTGGTCTTGCGTCTCGGGCATGAGATGAGTTGGCACCGCTGACGAACGGCGCAGCGCTCAACATGGGCACCGGCATCGCCTCCATCCTCCTCTTCAACCTCCCCTTCCAAGCCGCCTGGCTGCGCCACCTCGGCGTCATCGTCTTCGTCCTCAACGTCGCCCTCTTCGTCCTCCTCTCCCTCGGCACTATCGTCCGGTTCATCCGGTGGAAGGGGATATTCACGGCGATATTGAAGCACCCGGCGTCGGGGCTGTTTTGGGGGACGTTGCCGATGGGTCTGATTACTATTGTTGTGAGTTGCACGGGGTGGCCTGGAGGGATGAGAACGTGCTGATGGCGAGGGGTAGAATATGATTGCGTTCGCGTTGGTGCCGTCGGGAGGGATCGGCTGGGCGAAGTTTGTGGTGGCGCTCTGGTGGATTGACGTGGTCATGTCGGTCGTCGTTAACCTCGGCATGATCTTCCTCATGTACGTCTCGTGCCATTGAACCATCATACCTCCGCTGACCACCCCTTAGGTTCACCCGCCAAACACATACCGCTGAATCCATGTCCGCCGCCTGGCTCCTCCCCATCGTCTCCTCCGTCGTCGCCGCCGCCTCCGGCGGCATCGTCGCCACCTCCATCCTCCCCACCATGCCCCTCCTCGCGCGCTCCATCGTCCTCACCTCTTACGTCATCTGGGGCACCGGCGTGCCCCTCGCGATGTTCGTCATCACGATCTACATGCACCGGACGATCGTGCATGGGATACCTGCGGCGGCGGCGATCCCGACGGTGTTCTTACCGCTAGGGCCGTGTGGGCAGGGGAGTTTTGGGATAGTGATATTGGGGAGGACGGTGAGGGCGCTGGCGTATGAGCATGGGATCGGGCTGGGGATCTTGCCGCCCGCGGGGGCGGGGGATGTGGCGACGGCGGCGTTGAGGAGGGACGCGATCTTACGGATGGCGGATGCGGTGTATGCTGGGGGGCTGGTGACGGGGCTGATACTGTGGGGGCTGGGGTTTTGCTGGTATGTGCTGGCGACGTTTTGCTGGTATGTGCTGGCGACGGCGGTGTTCGTGGATCATGTGTGGACAAAGAACAGGGGGTATATGGGGCAGAAGGCGTTCAGCGTTGGGTTTACCGCTCTGACGTTCCCTATCGGTGTTTGGGCTGTGAGTGGACGCGTATTGCGTGCTTGACAACGTGGATTACAGCTGACAGGTGCATGTTGATAGACTGCGACGACAACCCTCGCGACAGAGCTCGACTCGCTCCCATTCAAGATCATCGGCACCGTGGTCTCAATCCAAGTCGTCTTGAACTGGATCTACGTCATGGTCATGTCGCTGTACAAGTCGTGCGACAGGTCGCTCTTTGTGGCTCCAGAGCTTGCTTCGTTCCCGGACAAGACCCCGCCTCTACGCTTCGGCGGCGGCAGTCGTGGCAGCAGAGGGGGGGACGCGGGAGGCAACCCGCAGGCGGAGTTGCCGATGCAGGAGGACCCCTTGAAGGACAAGATGGATGCGGTGGAGAGGGAGATGAGGATGCAGCAGATGAGGATGTCGTTAGGGAGTGGCGGGGCGGGTGGACGGGAGCAGGGGTTGGGGCAAGGGATGGGAGATGGGATGGTGTGGCAGGTGAGAGCAGGAGAAGGGAGCGGCGGGAGGGCGATGTACGATGTTCGGTTATAGGGCGCGGATGATCTGTAGCATTGTATGTGTGTAGTTGTACCATATATATCATCGTAATCCATAGCATAGATGATGGCATTGACGTTCTCTGAAGCGAAGACGTGACGGACGCGACGAGTGCCACAAGCGTGACCGAAACGTTCGCTGCGCGCCAAGGTGAAACGGGTCAGGAACTTGGGTAGATTCCCTTGAAGCCAAGTGGACGGCGCGTTCTTTGAGTTCTTGTCCAGGCCGCGTCCTCTGCCACCGGGGGGTTATTCACAGCCATCATCTATTGTTCTCGGTCGTCAACCAGATAGACCTCCCCTATACACCATCTCCCCACTCCTGACAACACCCGGCCCGCTGGACGAGCCGAGCCCTCCCCGACCTCCGTCACCCCGTCAGTCCGTCACCCGCACCCGCCTACGCCCGCCGCTCTTTTGTCGTCGATCATCCAAAGGCGGCTGCCCTCATTGCTGTGGCCTCGTCCATATAATCTGTGCACTCGAGAGACACTCCTGGCCGACGTCCCCTGCTGTCAAAGGATTAACTGCATACAGGATTGGGGTGAGTGCGCGACGATTGCTGTCTTCTCCGCCTCCTTCTGCACTGATCGTCAATCACAGCGCAGAGCGGCCCGTGTGTTTCAGCCTCCCTCGAGCCTTTGTTCGCTCCTTCCCTATAACAATGTGAGTCCATCTATCTCTTACATCCATTCACCATTCTCAAGCTAACTCGCACCATTCCCCTCCCCTCAATCCCCTTCTCCCATTCCTCTAGTCCACCCATCTCGCCCTCATGACTTAACGACGAGTCACGATACATAGACATCACCGCACTCGTTCAACCACACGCTCTTTACGCACCCCCGCTTTGTCCCGACTCTTCACAAACACACCTTCCTCCTTGCCACCTCCCGCCCACCCACACCACCCCTAGTTCTCTCCACGGCCTCTTTACGAACAACTCTACCTCCCCCTTACCTTACCCTCCTTCACCCCCACAATGCCTCTCGTCGGCAACCCCAGTCTCGCTGCCCAGCTGTACGGCCCCTCGGTCACGTTCGTGAACCACGCCGCAGTCATGACCGCCTCAACCGCCGCCGCATCTTCCACCGCACTCAACTCGACGCAGGTCGTCGCAGCAGAGAAAGCCGAGCAGGTCTCGATGAGTCGTGAGTTTCTTGGCAAGGAGCGGCTTTCTCAAAGGAAGCATGCCTATTGTGGGATTGTTCACTGACCCCAACCCATGCACCCGACTGCGCAGAGAGCATCGCAGGGATCGTCTACCTCTCCCTCGCGGGCCTCCTCCTCTTCTGCATGATCGTCGCCCACCCGCGCTTCCTCGCCCGCCTCTTCGCGTCCATCTGCTCCACCAAGAAGCGGGCTACCGCTCCCTACCGCCCGGCGTACGCCTTCAGCATGGCGAGCGCGCAGGAGAAAGCTGGGCGGATGGTCTCTGGCGGTGGGCTGCGGGATGGTTGGGTGCTGAAGAAGGGGGAGGACAAGCCTATCGAGATCATGTCGCCGACCACCCCCGGCACGGCTCGGTCCGCGTACTTCTCGCCGGTCGAGGAGCGCACGCACGTCTTCCCCCCCGTCGCCCCCCGCCCGCACCTCCTCCCCCCACCCCACATAAACCCCCTCATGTCCTACGCCCCCTTCGCCTCCACTTTCCTCTACGCACCGTTCTACCACTTCCCCAGCGTCCTCAAGTCGCTCATCAACATGGCCCAGATCTACCTCGTGGTGATCTACCTCATCGCGATGGCCTTCTGCCTCATCTGGCGGTCGGACCTCCGCCCGGCGCAGAAGGGGTCCGGGTATGGGTCGGATTTCAAGCGCTCGGCGGTGGTGGCGGTGGCGAATATCCCGATTGTCATCGCGCTGGGTGTGCGTGGGAACTTGGTGGGGCTGTGTGTGGGGAAGGGGTATGATAAGCTCAAGGTGCTGCACAAGGTTGTCGGGAGGGTGCTCTTCGCTTCTGCGTCGGTACACGCTCTCGGGTTCAGTGAGTCGCACTTCGCCAATCTCCATCCTACGGG